GCAAAAATAAGTGTGATTGATTTGATGATGGTTTCTGATGTCGCATAAATAATTTATGTGGTGTACTGCTTGAAGTGTGTGTGTGTGTGTATGTGTGTGAGTGTGTGTGTGTTCGTGTGTGGGTGTGTGTGCATATGTGTGTGCATATGTGTATGTGTGTGCATATGTGTATGTGTTTGTATGTGTGTGCACATGTGTGTGCGTGTATGCGTGATGCAGCTGGCTGGTGCTGGACTGTTTGGCAACACCGATCTGACATTAATTAGATATTCTGAACGTGGCTTAATTTAGAAACGATGATTGTTGGACAGTCGGAGACATTGCGCAGTGGGAAAGCACTGTTGTTGTGTAGTAGAGTAATTTGGTGATTTAGCTCTGCTGGTGGGGCAACTAATCCCTCTACGACTCGTCTCAATGGTAAAACTGTTGTTGGCGTGTGCCTGCGAGTCAAAACCGCCATCAGCATGCTTGTGAGCAATCCTTGGGAGAAGGGACCTATTGACAGCTTGGCAGAGGGTAGTTGCAGCTAGCAGTTGCCACCGGTCCGGGCTGCTTCCTGCCTCTCACTGAAAGCGAATACAGAAAAAGTCTCGTCCTTGACTGTGGAACAGTTTTTCGTTATATTTGCCCTTGGACTAAGATAAAGCACTTCTTTAATCGATGACTGACGCGTCATTATCGCCCAGGAATAGCAGAATTCAGCATGAGGTACTGGTGTTCAACACATGCCAAAAATATCACGAAACTACTAAAACCTTACTAAGTATGTCCCAACCACTGGATTGATAATTTCTTCAGGAGAGGAAGCAGGCTGACCAGCAAGCCAAAGTAACTGAAAAATTTGCCAGCTTTACAGATAATCACATTGTGCATTAACAATCGCTGCAGGTTTTACAGCTTGAGAATTAACAAAACTACGAGCTGTAAATTCTGGGAGATTTTTCACTGCGCTGAAGGAATGGTGCAGTGGTAGTCAGCTCCGTTCTAGTGCTGGAGATCGAAGGTTCGATTCCGGCACTAAAATAGACAGTTCTTACAGTCCTTTTATTCATTCCGGTGGTAAATTGGTACTGATAAATATCAACTGTTAACTTCTCTTCAGGCAATCTTCAGTAGCTTAATTAGAAAATTATTCTTCAAAATTGAAATATGGAGAGGGTATCGATCTTTGACACTCTGTCAGAGAAAACTAGGCGAATGGCAAAAAAAAAAAAAAAAAAAACGGGAAATCAGCTTTCTAAAAGTCACACTGTTCAGTGTGCATTTTTAAGCACACATCCATAAATGGCATTTTTTTTTTAATTTTTAGACACAGAAAAAGAAAGCGGAGCATGAATTATCCGAGAATCCATGGCTGGTCAGCCCATCGCATGCCGCTGTAGTGCATCGCAGCAATGGCTGGATTGTGATCCATGTGGTTGCCTATCTGTACAATATGGTTTTACTGACAATCAAAATAACCCTAAGGTTTTGTTTATTCGTTTTTGCAGAGTTGGCCGAGTTCGGGCCGCGTATTGTCGCGTATTTCGGTGGCCCATCTGCCGTTCTCAGTACACTGTTTGAGTTCTGCTTGTGGTGCCTAATGTACCACATTAATGCGTACATTCATCGTGCCGAAAATGCAATATCCATTGTGATCATGCTTGTCAGCATGTTGTATTATTTCATCACCAAGATGAGATGACTTGGAAACTACCTCCATGCTTTGATTGGCTTTCGCTTCGCGCTTCTTTGCTCTTCTTCTTTTTCTTTATTCTGGGAAGGAATGCTTATTTTTATTTATTTCGAAAGGATTTTCGCTGTTTGCATGATCCATCAGCTTACAAACTAGCAGTGCTGCATGTTATCTTTTCCCGAATTGTTTTGTAAAATCATATGTGCCAGTATTGAGCCGCATAGGATTGCCAATATAACACCGAATTTTGCATGTAACGATGCTCGAACAGTGCTAAGAAGCAACCATATTTTCTTTACAAAAGAGGCTGGACCAGAAAGCAGTTGCATTTTGCTAAATTATGAGATCAAAAGTTTTGGCAAGTTTGCCTCATACGGAAGAGAACTTTTTCGACGGTTTTTTCTGGTTACTGTCGTCGTACCATACAATAAAAGTAAGAGCCGTGCTCATAAAAGGGCTCCCAGAATTCCTAAAAAATTGGCCTTCACACCTCCAGAACCCTAAACAGTCAGTTTCAGATAACTCAGAGATTAAAAACCAGAATTCTCTTATGTACACTCTCTGCGGTGACTTAGGCACTTGCAAGTAACCTGGACCACAGCAAATGCGAACTGCAGCTGTAGCCGCAGTCGATGGCCCCCCTCTTTCACGTGTTGCCTGGAAATAAGCTAATAACGAGTTTGATTCAATTTGCAGTCCAGGCGAATAAACGAGTCGTAGAGGGATTGGTTGCCTTGCAGAGTTAGATCCTCGACCTGTAAAGGTGAGGAGAAAGCTAGTTACCACAGCGCTATGTCCGCCAGCGTAGTGGCTTTCATTTTTCACGCTAAACCCATTTTTTGCATCTTTACAATGCAAAAACTCATATTGCGGAGGTTTTCTGTGTGTGCGTCTGTGCCGAGTTTTTATCCCGAGATCTATAAGAGCGGTAAAGCTGAAACTAATCAGCACTAAATATGATCCCCTGTCCTCAAAATCGATGCCCACTTCCACATGTTTTTCATGTGCAGGCATGTGGAAATTTTCTTGGCGAGGAAGCGACTTCGGGAACGACGCAAGCTAGAAGGCTGAAACTTCACGGAGATGTTTCTTGATCATGTCTAACTCAAGGGTTTTAAATTCAGCCTTCACGCGCCATTAGGCCTCACATACTCACATGTCAAAGTTTAGATCGGTATCGCACCAACGCCAGATTTAAGCTGACCAAGAAGTTGTGGAAAGCTGTAATTTTGCAGCTTTGCTTGTCGCCCACTGATATGCCCGTGAAAATAAACTGAGCATTTCAGCCCTTCTGCAGACATGTAAAAATTTCACGTAAACATTTACCAAACTGTAGCTAGAGGGCTGGAATTTTCTAAGCATGGCCGATGGCGCCGTTTGACCAGGTAGACGTGAAAACAACTTTCACGTTCATTTCACGTCTCACTTATGAACACGTAGAATTTGACGTAACTCCGCAACTAGAGCAGCTGGAGTGTTGAATTTTCTGAGTGTTATCCACGACCATGTTTGGATATCGTTTATAAAAAGAACTTTCACATTTTCTCCTCATGTACGAACACGTGAAATTTGACACTGCTCCGCAACCGAAACGTGCAGAGTGTTGATTTTTTTTTGGGGCATGAATTGGGAGTCGTTACAATATTTTTTGACAGTCGTGGTGGCCAGTCTCAATTCTTTCTGCTTAATGCATCTACCGAAAAAAAAAACTGCCGTTGGCAACAAAAATCTGCTGGGGAACTGCGCAAAAAACGCATCTTCACGCCGGCATCCGGTGCGATAGCCATTTATTTTGTATTGTGTATTTCGTTGATATATTTGGCTTTGGCGTTGATGCTTGTCGTTGATGCCTTGTGTTGCTTAATGAGTATTTGGGCTTTTTTTTGTCGACAAACACGAATTAATGTAAAACGAATTTGCCTGTGGTGTGCTAATGGAAAATAAGCGTCAAGACGTAATAGCAAAGTTCTTCAGGGAAATAGATATCTATTTTCTTTTAAACAAATGTAGTATACTACAACCGTTGCATTGACTAGGTCCAGTTATGGTACTGATGAGGGACTTGTACAGCTTAATGGAACGAAACATTTCTTTCCAGTAATTACCTTTCTTCCATTAATTTACATTTATTCCGCTTTCTTTATCTGTATTTATTGTGCTACCTTACTTGGCAAATTATTTTTTCATGATCTTTTGTCCTACCTCAATAATTCTCACTATTCCTAGTGGGCTCTTCAGGCAGTTTATATTTTTGGTCTCTTTTTTCTCCTATTATTATATTTATTATTTAAAGTAATTATTAATTATTAGGCAAATTCAGATATATTGCATTCGTATTTGTAATGAATGATCGCGAATGTTCTGGAGGTCAAATTCAGTCATCCGAGTAGTATTTGCTTTATGCATAGGTGTGTAACTTATTGATACCCATACACACATAAAGGAGATGATTCAGAAACGAACCACCGATTACATAAGAAGATTTATCAAGAATTTTTTAGTTTTCTCTGTTCTTATTAAAAAATTTACTTAAAAATTCACTGTAGTTGCTTTTTGTTTTGTCATTTTCTTTTCTGATGTTTTGCTTGTCGTTCACTAAGTCCGTCAAGTCAAACTGCTACTGTTCCTTGCGCTTTGTCATGCTTTTTTTTGCGGTATTTTTCATGGTCTTTCGGTTTCGCATTAATACCATTACACGCACTAATCGACTTTCTCCAAATAAAATCTGCTTAAAGGCATGGTACGCGACTACACACCTTCTACTCTAACTATGCATCGTTTTATAACCTAACTATTCGAGCAGCTTTGTTACGTAAGCAGAGCGAATGGAAGGTATTAGGTCTGTCGCTTAATAGCTTTTTTCGGTAAAATTTCTTGCATCCAAAGGAGCTGAGGACGCATGCATGATGCTTGATCTGGTTATTGTACATTTGGCCGTATTTCGAGGCATAAGCTGTGAGTATTTGATTTCCAGCTCCCTACAGACATACGTTTTATGCAGTAAGGCAAAAAAATGCAGAAAAAGGAATAAATTTTTGGTACTGTGAAATCGGTACAGAGGAGTAACAAACCATGCATGCAGATACAATGGAGCATTATCTGGAGTGTGAATTTGCTTTGCAGGC